TGCAACTGCGAAGAGGGGGCAGAAAAAAAAAGAGGGGAGAAAAACAGGTACCTTGGTCCTTGGGTCTCCAGTCTCCTCCTCCAGGTGCCAGGCCAAGCCGGTGCCAGGCACAACGTCAACACCGCTGCACCAGTGACCAGCATGAGGTGCCCATTGCCCAACCTCGGAGTTTGCAACAGGGCAGTCGTGGCCGGCCCACGGTACGTACCTGTCTACCTTGCTTTGCATTCCGACGACACGGAGTGACCTTCCCGGGCGAATACTTCAGAAGTTCTAGGTACATTCCTTTGTGGCCGCTAGACATGGACCACTCTGGCGGGGGAGGAGTCCCGTCTTCCAGGATCCTTGGAGGTACAAGAGGAGGCACAGATGCACAGGTACAAAGGAAAGCACCTTTTTTGCCCTTGGTCCTCATGTCTTTTTCCATCATGTACGTGGGCAGCTGGTGCTGGGTTCTGCCTCACTTCCTCTACGGAGTACTACCTAGGTAAGAATGTAGTCAGTAGAGTTCTTTCTCCCTCCAACAAATTGCTTGGGCTTGGGCCGAATAAGTTTAGGAAGTTAGGAGATACTGCGACCAGCAAACCCCCTGAAACAACGCGGAATGCCTCAGACCGCAATTCTTTCCCGGATACTTTTCTCCATATTACCATTTTCACAAGAATCCTGCCATCCACTCACTCTATGTACCCGTACTCCGTAGTGAGTCTGCTCGCTAGGCTGTGGGCAAGAGTGGATGTCAAATGCAGCCCAAGTCTCTGGCCCACGACGCCCAAATTCGCCCTTCCGCAATCTGGAATTTTTCTGGATGCAACTTTCATCGTCGGCCCCCCTTGCCCTCCCCCGGGCCCCAGGCAAGGCAAAGCCAGGACACACGGCGCAGCTGGTCTCCATCCAGGAATCCACCCCTCTTGCTTTTGCCTTGGGCGTTCCCCCCCCCCCCTTCTCTCCCATGAGTCCCATCGTCCTTTCTGTTGCACCGGCGGCCTGTCACCGACCCCCCGGGAGCCATCACCGCTGATTAGAATCGGGCATCGTGGGACCTCGGGACAACTTCCTTCCAATGAAAGCCCCTGGTCCTCTTCAGACTTCTTGTCACCATCCCCTGTTCCCAGGCAGAAGAATCCGGCTTCTGCGAAATACACTATTCGTACGGATACAAAGTTACAAACTCAATGGCTGCCATCGACTACTCCGTACCGTCCACAAAGTACATACACTGCCACTAGGCCCTTTCTTCCCTATCCGCAATCAGACTCGGCTTCTCGAGTCTTCCATCTTGGCTGATGTCGGCTGCTGTGGACGCAGTCTCCAGGGCCAAGGGTCGCAAGTGCTTTAGTCAGGAACTGGGGGACCGGGACCACGGCCGGGACCTGCAGTCTGGCGCATCTTTTGCTTCAAAATTTGCCATTTCCAATATTCGGGTACCAAGTCCAAGGCGGAAGAACCCAGTGGTATTCAGCAAATTCCTAATAAGTCGTTTGATTGCCGCCATTTCGCTACCACACAACCTGCTTAGCTCGCGGTCAACTGCAACTTGAAAAAGAGTCACAGGATAGACGGACAGACAGCAAACGGTCGTGCAGTGGCTTTTGGTACCCTGACGGAGGACGGGGACGCATGCCACTGCTCCATACGGGGTACTCTGCAAACAAATCAAGGGCCTTTACGTGGGCTTCGGACCTGGTGCCGAAGCACTATTGAAGTTGACGCATGCCTCTTGAGGCTTTCTACCCTATCTTAGTCAACCAGGCACAACTTACACTTCCGCCCCTACCACGATTTACAAACCATGGGTCGTAACGCCCGCCGCGATCGGATGCCTGCTTGCTCGCTTCCAACGGCCGACCGTTAAAGTCGAAATGGCGGTGTTATGTGATATACTTCAACACAGAAGGTTCTTATCGGGAGCATATTATCACTTTTACGAGACGAGGTACGGCCTCGTCGGCTTAGAATGTGGTACCTAGCAGCATTTTTTCTCGTCGAGAAAACCAGACATAACTTTCGGACAGTGGCATTACAACCTCTGATTTCAATAGGCAAAAGTTGATTCCGAGTGTACACCATTTCCGTCCATAATGTTTTTGGCACTTTCTTGTACCTACCTACGGAAACGGCTATCGACAAGAAGTCTGTCTTTGCCAATAACGGAATGTCTGCAGGTCAGCAGATCAAGATGAAGCCAACGTTCCTTTTGCCAGCTTCTTTGAGCCTCTCATAGACGGCCAAGTGGACGACGTGGCAGGCATACGACTGGCTGCATCTCCCATGTGAACCATCCTTGGGCTCTGAGTTTAGGGGGCCGCTATCTTGGGTGGTGCTTGGGTTCTGGTCTTCTGGATAACCTGAGACATTTCCTAAAGCGAGGAAAAATTACACCGACCCCAGGCTCCCGACAGAACGTCGCAATAAACCCATCCGCCCACGATGCTCTGATGGTACCGAGCTATTGGGGGCTTTTGCAGCGTTCGATTGGTCGTCGGCCGTTCCCCTTGGATCCCACAATCTGGGGACAGGCAGAAGAAAACGACTGGAAATGCGTGGTCAACGTTACCAGGTCGATCGCCGCCTTCGCAGCGATGGTTGTGCAAGGTTGGGATCTGGGCTATGTCAAACGCTGCCGTTGCTTGTGCTCTCTTCATCGACGCCAATCCCTATGCGTTCCTGGCCCATCGACCTCGACCCATCGTATGATGGGCCGCGGCGGCCCCCGCGAGACAGAGTGACAGGCTCCGTTCCTCGCTCAGACCGAGGTGCTCACCGGCGATACTGAGCACCGAAACCCGACGAACGGCTGATCTGGCAGCTGATGCTGTGCGACAGAAGCGCTGAGCAGAACGCTGCGGCGCTGACAGGCCGTTCTTTCGGCTCTTCTCCACGTTGCATCGAAAACGGTGCCTCTAGCCTCCTGCTCTCGGTAGCCTCTGCTTACCTTGCGCGGGAGGGAAGTGAGCACCGCCTAGGTGTGGCTCAGTCAGGCGCAGAGGGAACGATGCTCCGTACCAGAAAATAGGTACGTCAGAATCTACGCTGCAGTAGTACGGATACATATTCCATCCGTCTAAAAAGGGTGTCCGGGAGGATCGGTAGGGCAGGCAGGTCTCACCCTCCCGTGCGATAGTGCCGAAGTGGTGAGCCCTCTCTCAACCCACGGGGCTCACATCACCATTCGTAGACTTGTAGCCCAGAGAAGGCAAAACAAATCAGGAAGGCCAAGCTGCGGTTGTCTAATGAGAAACACGGCTCCCTCTGTTGGCTTTTCCCGTCCAAGCTGTCCTCAGACTCCTTCCATTCCCGCATTACACGGCAGGCCAAACCAGATGCCTTCCTTAGGACCCACACACATAGACAAGAAGCGTGGAAAAAAGAGAGACAAAACCACGTCAACGTCTCCCACGTCGTTAAAACGTTCATGTCTGGCGCGTGATGTTGATTCTTCCAAGGATCAGAGAAAAGGTTCTTTTCCACCTACTGAATCCCTCAACAGAGCCCATCCCCCCCGCGTGTCAGTCAGCACGCCGGCGGCGGGCGTTGATCATCTGCGCAGGAACCCGGAAGTCTATAGGTTGGGACAGGTCGCAGTTTAGTATGCAATGACGTTCCACACCTCCTTGGGGAGGTTCAGTTTTTGAGAGGTAAGGTAAGTAGGTTCGATTAGGCAGACGAACAAGTTCAAAGCCCAGCCCACGCGCAACCCACACCCGATCCCAACTGGTAGGGTAGATTATAACCCGCCATTCTGGGAAAGACAAAGGGCGGCGCCTGTCAGATGGGACGGGCCTTGTTCGTCTCGTCGCGATGCGCTGGCGGGAACGTAATCCGCGCGGGTAAGGCAGCCTTGTTCTCTCTCTCGTGCTTACCACCCGCCCGACAAATAGTACCTACCTTGCTTTTGCGTCCTCGGGCGGGAGTTTTTGGCCTGGTCACTTGGTGGTGGTGGTGGTGGTGGTGGTGGTGGTGGTGGTCTAAGGCGCAGTCGGATTGGGTGAGCGTGGGCGTGGCCTGTTGTAATTTGTTCATACTCTTTGAGAGAACTGGCTGCATGCACAGAGCCACGTTGGCCCGCCCCTCCATTCTCGTTTTCCTCCTCTTAATTAGTACGTCTCTCATGATTCCCTTCCGGTTTCCTACGGTGGTGATGTACCCGGGTAGTCTCTGGCCCTTCCAAATGAGATGTATCATGATACTTTATACCTGGTTGCAGACCCGGGCGAGGTGGCTAAAGTCCCATTACCCTTCCCTTCCATCCCTGAGATAGATGCGAGACTTCCTCTTCCATCGATCCAATCCGGGCCAATGGAGAGAACTGGTGTTGCAAAGTCGAGTACGTATTTACGGAAAATGGAGTTGCCATTTCGGGCCAACAGCCACACCTTTTTGCCTTACGGAGAGTGCTGATTCGAGAAGCTCGTGGCCAACAAAAGCCCAATCATCTCGTTCCAGCAACAAGGAGAAGAGTCGTAGTAGTGTGGCATATTCCTGTGCAAAGAAGGCGCCGTCATGATGATGACTGCCTGACAAATGATAACTACTAGATCTTCGGCGTTGGTTGGTCCGGAATCAAACCCCTGCCTTTTCCCTACGAAGGAGACTGCGTAGGTGATCTTGATGGGGGTTGTATGCCGTGATGGGTTACCTCGGTAAAGGAAGAGGTTGAATGAGACCGGTATGTGTTTCGAGGTCTTCTAGAATCCAGATGAGATGCTTCGGGACGACACGATGTGCCTCGGTGTCGGTAGTGAGCGGTTGTGTAAGTAATACTTTGATGCGAAAATGATTCCAATGTATTCGCCAAACACGGCTGCGGCATGAAGCGACTGGATGGAAACCGATTCGAACTGCAGCTAGTTGAGATCCTGTGTATGCCTTGCCTGACTATGGTTAATGCTACGACATCTAGTGGGAGAAAAGACGGAGGTCTTTACATCGCTTGGAGGGCACTAGAATGGTTCACGGGTTAGATAACCACTCGATTTTCATGGAAAAGGCACAGTAAATCTTCATTGAATGTGATCCACAGCCTGCTACCGTCATTTCGATTCCGCAAACCTGATATCTCCTCTCATTTTGTACGCCCAAACGCCAGGCCATGACTGCCCGTTCTATAAAAGTAAATTTTGTTAACAGAGACCGGCCATTTCCGTCAGAGGACGGACACATCTAAGCAAAGTGAATGCCCTCAGAGTTGAGAGCAGAAAGCAGCTTCAAGAAATCCGTCTCATCGCACAATCGAGCTCTCTTCTCCATGAGCTCGGTGCTCTCGAGCGCGCGTTCAATCTTGCTCCGCACGAGCGCCGCAACCTTGGTCTTCTTGCGCTTGCTCTTCGTCTTCTCGGGCGCCTTGGCGGCTGTAGCGTTGAGCTCCTTGAAGAACTCGGGTGTGTCGTCGTCCATGGGCTCAACATCATCATCATCATTTCCGCCGGCATCCGCGTCGTCGTCCATTTCCATGGCGTCGTCCTCGTCATCCTCGACAAGGGAGTCGTCCAGGGGCACGTTGTTCATGGCAGCCCATGTGCGATAGTTCTAGTAGCAAATCAGTACCACTAAACTTTGTAGGCACACAACATTGAAACTCACCTTCTCCAGCATCTGGAGCACTTCCTTCGTACCAAGCCAGCTGGCTCGCATGGTTCTGTTCTTACGGTTGAAGCACTGAATGGATTATCAGCTGCGATATCTTTGAGGTGACAGTAAACACTACTTACTACGCGAAGAAGGCCGTCGAATTCCTCGAACGCGATGGTGGGACGCTCAGCTCCCTGCTTGGGCACAATGCGCACAACGCAGGAGTCGACCTGGGGGGGCGGCCTGAAGTTGGCCTTTGACACCTTCATCTATTGTAGAGTATCAGTAGACCGCCGCAAAAGATACATTCCCAAGCATCTTTACTCACCACATTGGAGCATGTAGCCCAAAAGTTGGCGTTCACACTTAATCTTCCATAGAGCTTGTCGCCGGGCTTGGCCACAAGTCTTTGTCCGAACTCGAGCTGGAACATGAGAATCGCTTGCCGCGGCGGCTTCGGCATCGCCAGCATCTTGAAAACCAGGGGCGAAGAGATCTAATGACAGGTTAGCTACGCCGGAGGCAAAGGTATCAAAGAACGTGCCTGGTAAGGTGTGTTTGAAATGAGCACGTCAAAAGGAACCCATTCGACTTTGATCGCATCTCCGAGCATGACATCTAGCTTGCGCTGCTCCGGAGTCCCTTGCACACGCTGTTTTGGTCCCGTCAGCCTCCGAGTATCGTCCTGATGGCGTTTTGTCCAACCTTTGTCACTTCGGCCGCCATTCGAGGGTCGAATTCGATAGCAATGAGCTTCTTCGCCTTTTCGAGAATTCTCACTGTCAAGTTACCAGTTCCAGGACCGATTTCGAGAACAGTATCCGTGGGCTTAAGTTCGGCTTTCTGTATAGACACATTTAGTGTTTGGTTCGTTATGGAAGGGGGGAGTTTGGGCGTACGTGAACGATCGCATCCGCCACACCGGGGTTCTTCAAGATATGTTGACCGACATTTGTCTATGAAAGAAGTTAGCCAAGGTTCCAAGACGTACTATGGAATGCGACGCACGTTGAACTTGAAGACATTGTTCGTCTTCTGAGAAGGTCGGGAGTACGGGCTTCCTGAAGAGGCGGCAGCATTCCGCTTGCCAGCTTTCGCTTTACCCATGGTGCTTGTGTGAAGTGTCGGAATGTCGCGCTATATGGAAGTAACTGGGATTCTGACAAGCAGTCGACCTTTGGCGTACGATATCCTGGTGGCGCAAAGTTTGAGATCCTGAAATCTTCGCGATGTCGAAGTCTGCGGTGAAGATGGAGGGGCAGCCTTTTGGAAATTTTAGTGGACCCTTGCCCCACTACGAACCCGCGCGACAGGGATTGTGCAGCTCAAAAACTTTAGTACCACTTCAGCCTTGCGCAACCGGTTCCAAGCATAGAGTGAGGCCAACCCTCACTGATTGCCTACAAATCCCCCATCAGGCGCGCCCTCTTGATCTTGCTGCCGCACCGAAAAGCCACCTGTTCAATCGCCATTATGTCGGGCAGGCGCGACTTTTTGAGCCAACCGGCTCCCGAAAACTACGTCGCTGGTCTTGGTAGAGGTGCTACTGGCTTCACTACGCGATCAGATCTGGGTCCTGCACGCGAAGGACCGACTGAGGACCAGATCAAGGAAGCGGTCGCCAAGCGCGCAGCACAACTCGGCTTAGGCACCGACGGCAAGAAGGCGGAGGAGAAGGACGACGACGATGACCGGTTCAAAGACCCCGATAACGAAGTCGGCCTGTTCGCAGGTGGCGTGTACGACAAAGATGACGAAGAGGCCGACAGGATATGGCAAGAGGTTGACGAGAAGATGGCAAGGAGGAGGCAGAAGCAAAGAGAAGCGCGTGAAAAGGCCGAGCAAGACGAATACGAACGCAAGAACCCCAAGATTCAACAACAATTCGCGGATCTTAAGAGAGCGCTTTCGACAGTCACCGACGACGAATGGGCAAACCTCCCTGAGGTTGGAGACCTGACAGGAAAAAACAGGAGAAGCAAGCAGACCTTGCGCCAACGCTTCTACGCGGTTCCAGACAGCGTTCTGGCTGCTGCGAGGGACTCGTCAGAGCTGGGCAGTACGGTTGCGGATGACGGAGCAGCATCAAGCTCCGAACAAGCGGACGGCACAATGACCAACTTTGCCAAGATTGGTGCTGCCAGAGACAAGGTCCTCAAATCTAGGCTCGAGCAAGCGTCACAGGACGGAACCGAATCATCAGTCGCCGGCAGCGCATCGAGTATCGATCCCAAGGGCTACATTACCAGTCTGAACAAAAGCGTCCTCAACGAATCGCAAGCGCAGGTCGGCGACATCAACCGTGTACGCGAGCTGTTAACATCGGTGATCAAAACGAACCCGAATAATGCGCCGGGTTGGATTGCTGCAGCTCGCTTGGAGGAACTGGCGGGCAAGACGGTCGCTGCACGTAATGTGATAGCACGCGGATGCACACATTGCCCCAAGAGCGAGGATGTGTGGCTGGAAAACATTCGACTCAACGATGGAAAGAATGCGAAGATTATTGCCGCCGAGTCAATCAAGAAGAATGATCGATCTGTGCGTCTCTGGGTCGAGGCGATGAGACTGGAGAATGAGCCTAGGGCAAAGAAGAAGGTCATCAGACTCGCTCTGGACCATATTCCGGAATCAGAAGCACTATGGAAGGAAGCGGTCAACCTTGAAGAAGATCCGGAAGATGCCCGGTTGCTGCTCGCCAAGGCAACAGAGCTTATACCCCTGTCCGTTGATCTGTGGTTGGCCTTGGCAAGACTGGAGAGCCCTGAAAACGCCCAAAAGGTGCTCAACAAGGCACGAAAAGCAGTGCCTACATCTCACGAGATTTGGATTGCGGCTGCTCGACTGCAGGAGCAGCTTGGCCAGGGCACGAAGGTCAACGTCATGAAGCGTGCCATTGCAGTTCTGGTCAAGGAGTCCGCCATGCCCAAGCGCGAGGAGTGGATTGCTGAGGCAGAAAAGTGCGAGGAGGATGGCGCTGTTATTACGTGCGGGAACATTATCAGAGAAACACTGGGCTATGGCCTCGATGAAGACGACGACCGCAAGGACACCTGGACGGAGGACGCACGAGGCAGCATCAATCGTGGCATGTACGAGACAGCACGCGCCATCTACTCCTATGCGCTGCGTGTTTTCGTCAATAGCAGGACATTATGGATGGCCGCGGCCGACCTGGAAAGGAATCACGGTACAAAAGAGTCGCTCGCCCAGGTCTTGGAGAAGGCTGTTGAGGCATGCCCCAAGAGCGAGGTGCTGTGGATGATGTTGGCCAAAGAGAAGTGGCAAGCCGGCGAGGTCGACAACGCCAGATTGGTGCTCGCCAGGGCTTTCAAGTCCAACCCGGATAACGAAGACATTTGGCTTGCTGCCGTCAAGCTCGAAGCCGAGAATGGAGAGACCGAGCGCGCTCGTAAGCTGCTCGAGGAAGCCCGCGACCAAGCCCCCACGGACCGCGTGTGGATGAAGAGTGTGGTTTTCGAGAGAGTGCTGGGCAACAGCGATGCGGCACTGGATCTCGTCCAACGGGCGTTGCAATTCTTCCCCGCAACGGCGAAGTTGTGGATGCTCAAGGGGCAAATTTACGAAGACCTTGGAAAGGTCGGCCAGGCACGCGAGGCCTATAGTACAGGTGTCAAGGCGGTGTCCAAGTCCATTCCCTTGTGGCTGCTTTACTCTCGACTGGAAGAGAAGGCCGGACTTGTCGTCAAGGCTCGCAGTGTTCTCGACCGAGCCCGACTTGCGATACCCAAATCGGCCGAGCTTTGGTGCGAATCTGTCCGCATCGAAAGACGCGCGGGCAATCTCAACCAGGCCAAGTCTCTCATGGCCAAGGCGCTTCAAGAGGTTCCCAAGAGCGGACTCTTGTGGAGTGAACAGATCTGGCACTTGGAGCCACGTACTCAGCGCAAGCCGCGGTCACTAGAGGCCATCAAGAAGGTGGACAACGACCCTATCCTGTTTGTAGCTGTGGCCCGAATCTTTTGGGGCGAACGCAAGCTCGAAAAGGCACAAAATTGGTTCGAAAAGGCGCTGGTGCTGGACAGTGACAATGGCGACACTTGGGCTTGGTATTACAAGTTCTTGCTCCAGCACGGAACAGACGTAAGTGGCTACCTTGTTGGCTGTCGAATTGACGTTTGTAAGCTAACCCGATCCCAGGAGAAACGGGCGGATGTCATCAACAAATGTGTCTTGAACGAGCCTCGCCATGGCGAACACTGGCAAGCGATTGCCAAACAGCCCACCAATGCAAGGAAGGGAACCGAGGACATCTTGAAGTTGGTTGCTGAAGTGTTGGAGAAATGAATTATGTAATAGTATATGTATCAAACATCAAATTCGGGTTGGTCGGGAATGATAGAGGAGAAGAGGTCACTTTCAAAATCACCAAGCGAGCAGGAAATAATACCACGAGGAAGCCCCATGGGCTTTTGAGATATTGAACATGAGTCAAAGAATTATGATTGATTCGTATTGCGACTCCTAACCCAGAGCTGAGAAAGCAAACCCGATGCCCATTGTCATGATTGATCCATTACGTAGAAGACAGAAGAAATGATCGCCAGAGTAATCGTAGGACTTATTTGCCGCCGAACCAGCTGGAGATGCCGCTCTTGGCCTTGGCGGCTTCGGTCTCGACGGTCTTGTCAAAGGCGTCGACCTTCTTCAGGGCTTCGGCCTTTGCGTCCTTGGCATACGCCTCGACGTTGCTCTTGGTGGCAGAGAACTTCTTGTCGGCCTCAGCGACCTGGTGAGATTGTCAGCGATGATTGATCATTGAACATTTGCTGGAGGCAGGCCGGGCAGAGGTGAACTTACGGCCTCGTCGAGCTTAGCACCGAATTGCGCGCCCTTGTTCTGGGCGTCGGGCGTACGTCCGGGGAGGTGAGACTTGACCTCAGCGGATGCCTTGTGAACGTCACCTAAATAACGCGGGTCAGCATTCGAGACAATGAGATGGCGGCAATGCGACAGGTAACACATACTCTCAAACTTCTTCTCCGCGGCGGTAGGGTTTCCGCCAGCGCTGTAGAGGTAGTAGCCGACACCGCCGGCGGCAGTGAGACCGAGGAAAAGGGGAGTCTTCTTGGACATGTTGATTGGGTTTGTGTGTAGTGTAGGGTGTAGTAGAGCTAATTGAGGTATGGCTTTGGAGCTGCGATCGGTAGAAGCTTGAAGCTATCGTCGTGATTTGTGTGATTTGATTGATTGAATTAGAGAGAGAGGAGAGAGAAAGCGGCCTTCGTCACGAGGAAGAGCAGGATGGCATGATCTATTAGTACCTTGCTATCGAATCACTGGCGCCGCAGCTCTTGTCTCATTTCTTACGCGGTTACACTCTTTCCCACACGCCTCCTGGCACCAAATCACACCAGTGAACTGCACTACCGACATGAGTCGACCTGGGGCAAGCAGGCGAGGGAACATTTGGAGCTACGAAAGCTCCGGTTGACGTGAAGGTGTGAGGGATACATGACGTAGAGCGGCATGAATGCGGGGAATGGGAAGTAGCTTCCCCCCAGCCGCTCCTGGCCGAAGAGCTCCACTTGGGGCCGGGACCACGAACTCAGCATGCACAGGCCATCACCTCCAGAGGGGACGGATACGATACCTTGGGATCACGCGAAACCCAATGGAGGAACGAAGTATTCGTGACGTACCTCTTCAGACTTGATCCTGGTAAGAGTGCAGCATCCACTGGATCTCCAGCGTCACTTCAGCTTGTCAAAGCTCCGAAAATCAGCTGTCACTTTCGATGTATCCATAGGGGGTAATGTTTTACTCTATGGTGTTTATTCATCCAGGTCTCCCTAAAACTTCCAACGAGCGCAAACGGACCTCTCGGCTGACGATCGTGCCCGTCAAACCGTTGCCTGTGGCTTCACAGTGCTCAATGTGCTTCAGAGCCAGGTCTGCACGTTAGGTAGCATGAAAACACCTGTTTGGGCTGACTCTCTGGTACGCAAAACTGAGGTGGTTGCTGGGGGGGCTCGACACTCGCTGGAGAAGCTGGGACATTACATCATCGCCGGAGCTGAGTACGCGACACCTCGCAGGCTCACAGGCTCCTGGACTGGCTGGACCGTGAAGCGCAAGAGCCAACCCGTGTTCAGCTTTTGGGTCTAGGCCTCCAAGTACAGCCAGCGCTTCCTGCTTTCCTTCGTAATTGTTATTGCTGCATTGTGCTAGCCTTGTTCAGCGTCCTCCATTTGGCCACTGCCAGCCGATGGTGGTCTAGCCCACGCTAGGTCCGAAGGAGAGGTCCTAATTGACTTCCCTGAAT